CTCTGTCCCAGCCGGAACCAGGACAACTACTTTCACCATGCCTTACAGAAATGTATAAAGCCTGGTAGAATCTGTATTGCATTAGGTGTATTACAAACCCACATAGAAACCCATTTCCTTCTCTAAATACCTTGGAGTTTAAGAAGTAAGCTCTCTTACAAAGTAGGGTGCATAATATATGTGGCTTTATGTACGTTTGTAGCATAGGTATTCTGACGGGGTACAGCAAGAGCCATCTATCCTCATATGCTTCAAATCCTCTATATGGTTAATCAGATGATTTCTCTGAGGACTTGGTATGCTGGATTTTGATACAGTTAAACATGTGTGTATGTGTAAGTATATGTCACTATGTGTGACATTGAGTTCTACCTGCCTCACAAATGTTTGTATAAGAACAGGACCTGTGCTTACTATACATTTGCTGAGATAGAAGATTAAATTACCCAAATACATTTTGTTGACTCAGTCTCTCATTTTTTGTAGTTAGCTTCAGATATGGAAAGAACTACTGGAAGTAGACCTATCAGTTGCAGTTGGAATTACAGAACTAAAATAAATACCAGTACCAGCTGTTGTAATGTGGATATTGGCTTGACATGGGTAGAGCGGCAGAGATAATTAAGTGATCTAAGTGAACCACAGGGCAGTTAGAGAGATCACTGCCCGGGTCAGGGTCTATTAGTTCACTCATTTAACCATTGTGTAGCCAAAGACAACAATATTTCTTGGGCTACGGAAGTCCAATGGACTGATCTATCAGAATTGGAAGGAAGTTTTCTTATAAAGGGTTGTGTGGCTACAACTAAACAGATTTTATGCTGCTTGATCAAAATAAAACAAACTGAAGAGCTGCTGCAGTTTCAGTATTGTTGAAATATTAAGATCTGATGGGGACAGCTGTGGCTCAGGGCCAGGCCTCACCAGTATCTGGCCAATAGCACATTGACTGAACTGCACTGAAAAGTGGACCTTGGTTTCCTCCTCATTTAACCTGGTCCCTATGTGAACTGAGGGGATTTGATTCCTTCAGGAGCCACTTCTAACACTGTGAAAAGACATGGTAAGATAAAACTGAGGTCTGCAGTGGAACCTAGCCATTCCCAGGCTTCTGCAGTATCTACCAACACCATGGGTCTCAGAGGCTTGCCATCCTTTCTGCCTCCTCTGTTGCCTCCTGCTGTCAGTCAAGAAGTCTGCTCTGAACTGTTCTGTTTAAAAAAACTAATGTCACTCAGTTTGCTGCTGTTTGATATTCGAAAATACTAAAATCAATATTCCTCATCTTATATTGGCTATTTCGCTCTTTTGGAGCATAATCTCTGATACTCTGCATTTTCATGCGTGGAATCATGATAACCAGTAAACCGTATTAATTGTTGCTACATTTTTATCACTCCAATTTAGTTGGATACAGTGCAGAAATAATTTTGAATAGAGAAATTTTATTCTATTTAAATTTAAAACTTTTAAACAATTATGTATTGCTGCCATTATTCATCCATAGTTTAGGTACAAGAACTGAATGAAAGGCCTGGAGAAAGGTTAATGTTGGGGGTATAAAGCAAATGTCAAAAGATTTTGTGTTTCCTATGTTCTTTCTGTAATTCTAATAAGGGCATATTCATGCCATTTGGATATAGATCTGAAGGTTTACTTAGAACCCAACCCAGACAATCATGCTAAAAACTACTGTTTCTTCCTCTTCATAACAGTGAAGAAAATATGAAAAACAATGTTGTCCTTATTTTGTAGTCAGCACTTTCTGAACTGATTTGATGTATTGAAAATTACATTGCCAGATTGTTGCTATTAAAGCTGCTTGCACATCCAAAAAGGAAGATAAATAACTATATACCCGGAGCAGGTTGTGAAGAGTGCAATCTTTTTCTCTAACCATCATCCTTGTACTCTCTGTTTTCATATCTTCTTCAGCACTGTGTACAGTTTTCTGACTTCCAACCACAATTTCCATTTGCAGCTAAACTCTATAAAGTATACAAAGTGCCTGATCCAAAGCTCAGCAAAGCCTTTGGGATTCTTTCCACTGACTTCAATACAGTTTGGATTGAGCCCAAAAAGAATGAATACTGAGCAATTTCACAATGAAAAGATAGTGTAAACCCAGGGATCCTGGATTTCTGCCACCAGCTGTAGATAAAGCAGAACAATTGCAGCAGCAGGACACTTCTATTACTGTCATTAAAGTAACAGCCCATGTCCTGTTCCCTTTCTGAGCCATATAGAGCTGGGAATACAGTGGGACCAAAGGCATCATGCTACCCCTGGAGCAATGCAGCAGAAAGCTCATGCAGGCTGGGAGGTGGAGTGCTGCCTGCAGGACTTAAACTGTCTTTTTATTTGACAATTTTCCAGTGGTTTTTGTAGAACGTGAGGACAGGGAGCAGGTAGCACCACCCAGTAAAAGTGCTTTAGCTGCAAGAACCATGATGCCAACATGTTCTCAAAGTACAGAAAGGGGTAGCTTCAAACTTAGTTCCTGTATACTGTATTCACAACAAATGTTGCAAAAGATGGTTGATCTGCACATAGTTACAAGCAGAAGAGGCACTCAGATTTTCACAATAACTCAGTGACAACATGCTTATTCATGTGCTAAGTGAATCCCTGGCACCTGAAGCCATGCCCTGCCCCGGCCTTGTGAAATTCAGATTTTCATTACATTGAATGGGAATATACTGCTGCGCATAGAACCTTATATTGAAATGGATGGCATGGCTTGCCTGCTAAATAAGTGGACTAGTTCAAGCCCCTAAGGAGATTCAGTACATATTTCTGAATCCAAAACAATGGTAAACTGTCACACAACAAATCGGACTGTTGGAGTGAAAGAAATTAAACAAATGACAAAAACTGAGTAAGGATCTCTTTTTTCCCACAACATTTATATGGAGCAAGCACTTACATATTGTCTGTCCTGAATTGTAATATGTGACCATATGATACAGTATTGGGAACACCTATTTAAACCGGAAAGGTAGCTATCTGAAACCAAAATGAAACCAAAAAGGAAGCCTAATCGTAACATCAGGACAAGAATCTGATTGGGAGCAGCCAACGTGGATTTACTAACGGCAATTCATTCCTGACCAAAATGATTGCTTGTCTGTGGACAAGGGATGGGCACTGAATGTTGTACACCCTGACTTTAGGAAGGCTTTTAATGCAGTTTCCCATAGTCTTGCTATCACCAAACTGATGACCTATGAAGTGGATAAGCAGATGATAAAATAAGTGGAAAATTGGCTTAATTGGCAGACTCAGGGAGTTGTGAATGGCGTTCATGAGACTGCTTCTGGAGTCTCCAGTACAAGAAAAATACTGACATAACGGAGCAAGCCCCATGCAGGGCTGCCAAGATGGTCAGGGAACTGGAGCACTGAGAGAACTGGGTCTGCTCAGCCTGGAGGAAAGAAGGCTAAGGAGAGACTTTATTGCTGTCTACAGCTACCTAATCAGAGGATACAGAGAAGATGGAGGCACACTGTTCTTGGACGCGTATGGCAATATTGTAAGATGTAACAGACACAAGTTGGAACATGTGAAATTCCAATTAGATATAAGCAAAAACTTTTTACCCTGACGATGCTCAAATACTTGAACCAGTTGCCCAGAACAATTGTGGCATTTCCATCAATAGAGGTGTTCAAGACTTAACTGGACAAGTCCCTGAGCGACCTGATCCAATTAGACCTGCATTGAGGAGGGGCTTGGACCAGATTATGTCCAAAGGTCCCCGTCTACCTTCATTATTCTGATTCTGTGATCAAATTATGCAGAAATGCCTGAGCTAATGCTAAGCTCACTAATTCCAGGGTAGGAAGCAGTATAACAGCATTGCTATTATACTGCTCTGTTCAGGCTTCTTGAGACTCAGAGCTGATTAGCTTAGGTGCTGCTCCACATCCAAGCGACTATACTGTTTTGGGGATCCAAGCTAGTTTCATTGATTGCATACACAGCAGCATGATCAGAGCTGACTTAGGAATCACTGCATGGCATTGCATGGTGTGATGCAGACATGTCCAGAATATAATTATAACTTCAACTCTACAACAGAACAAGCATGGTCAGACAGATTCACCATCTTAGAATGCCAGTGACATATTGGAGTATAAAACCTTCATTTTGATCTTTATCCTACTGAGGAGAAATGACTTCAGGCTGCAACATTTGGTCTCATAGTTTTCAAATTAAAAATGAGAGTCAGTTAACTGAAGTTTTGAAAGCATTCTGAGATCCTTACGTAAGAAGTGTAAAACAAATGCTAGGTTTTGTTATTCCAGATGTATAACAAAAATTAGAAGTAGAGAGCATTTTCTGTTTTGTTTCTATTTGTGTTTTTCTCCCCATAGTTATAAAGGGATGCTTTAACTGTCTATACATTTCTAAAAAATGTATGTGTGCCCTACATAATCAATTTGGGATTTGAAATAACCTGTTCCTTAACCACTTTTTTAGCTACTACTCAATGATACAGAGGGAATTTTTAACTTTACTGGAATTAAAGGACTGCTTGGGCCTCCAGTGAGTATATGCTGCTTTATTAAATCTTCAGTATCTTCAGAGCTGAGTTTCCTATGCTTTAGAATTATGTTCCTGTTAACTTCAGCACTGAGCTCTGTGGAAGTACTTAGGGCAGAACTGAATTCTGTGTGAATGAATTGCTTTTACACATTTGTATGAAAAAGGAATTGGCTTAGCTCTGAATCTGAGCTATATGCTCAGAATTACAGAAATGTGGAACTGATGCAAAAATAGGGACTAAGATTTACATAGCATTTTTTCCTTTTTTTTTCTGTTCTTGTTTTTCAAGTCATAAAAGGTTGGGATAAAGTATTTTGCTCAGTTCTCTTTGAGACTGCAACTAGGAATGCTAGGCTCCTGTGTATGAGTTTAGTCTCACAGCAATTATAGCTGTGGATGAAAAGCTGGAAATTTCATGAGAGAACAACAGATGTGAAATTTCAGGTTCTGTTTTGCAGCTAGGAGTACAGCTGCAAAATAGTTCAGTCAAATATTTGAAATTCTGAATGCTTCTTGATAATGATTTCAAATTCCTAGGACTGGATCCGAAGAGAAATCTACCTTTTCCAGGCTGTGGAGTCTATTCAAACTTGCCTGAAAGTCTACAATATATTGCACTTCCCAAAATTTTAATCCCCCCAAAACGAAGCATCTTACTTCACAGCTAGTTTCATTTGTGGACTGTTGTTTGTGTATTTTATTTTATCTGCTTTCTGGTTTGTGAGCATAGTTCTCTCTCTCACATTCAATCCCTGATGAAACAAGGAAAACCAAAATGTGTGTACCTGATAGCAGAATTTCACTCCACATAGCCATAGTTTGAAAAAAACATGTATCTTATTAATACAACTGTCCCAAAACAAATATTTACTAAATCTGTCAGTGAACTGGGAAGACGGGCATTATCTCCAATAACAGCTTTTATCTGTTAGCCTAATATGCCTCTTTTCCACTTGTCACATGGTAGGATGACATCATGTTATTGTGGCTGCATCCAGCTGTGCTTATGGTAAAAGAGTTTTCATGGAAGAGTATTTTGATGTGTTTCTTAAAGACCTGATTCTCCTAACCCCTGGACATAACAGGATGCCAGGATAGGATGGGACCTCTTGTGTGAGCTCTGTTACTGCAGGTAGTTGCCATTCAAGCCTTAGATGACAGGTTCTCAAAATAACATAGACAAGTGGGCTCATGAGCCCAGCAGAAATGCATTGGTTTGTAATTGTTGTTAGAGCTACAGTCCCAACAGAAAGAAGTAGATCCTGTAGCTCGAAGCCCAGTTGCAATTGGAAAGGTCTTTGAACCTCAGTCTCAGCTCACTCTAGTCAGGAAAGAGGTGCAGTCTCATAGTGGCTCAGGTAATATACATCCAGGTGATCTGAACTAGAACTAGAGTGTCTCTCTGCAGATATCACAGTGGGGCAATCTTAAATATGCCCAGTACAAATCCAAATCCATGTTTTTATTCACAGCCTATTACACACTCTATTTTCTAGCCACAGACAACCAGGAGCAAAATGGCAAAGGTGGGAGGGCTACTGTGGTCTCTGTGCTGGAATCTGGAAAAGATACAGAGGAGGTTGAATTATGGTTGCATGCCTTTCATATGTGGAAAAAGTCACCTTTCTTCAGCCTTTCCTGGATCTCTGTCCCTTCAGTTTTGGAAAGTAAATGCTAACATCCCGGAAAAAGTTAGAAACATAGGGCGTTGTGGAGTGTTCACAACTTTACCACTGGCGGAATGAAGTTCTTAATCCAGTTTCAGATCAGTTAATATTCACAAATTATGCAATACATGGAAATGCATACTCTATTTTGCAAATCTGTAATATGTGTTTGTAAGGAGGTGGGGGTTTTGCATTTTGCAGGGGCCAGATGGCAAGCCAGGTCTACCAGGATTTCCTGTAAGTATTATGTTCCTTGGATTTAAGTAAGTATTTTTCAATATAGTTTAATATTTAAAAAATTTATGTTGTACATAATTTACACAAAGCCTAATAAATTTTCATATGGGAGACTAGGTCTTTATGGAATCAACAGCTATGGTAGAAATTAACTTGGCTGGAAATGAAGTACACTGTGATATGCACATCTCATATTTCTGCTTATTTCAGAATCAGTTCTATAGTTTAAATCTAAATGTAATTGACTCTGACAAAAAATTATGACCTAAGGAAAAGACCTATGCCATTTAGGAGAAATAAATGGAACAAATGGGTTTCTAAATGTTATCTTCGTATGTATATGTAATTGTATTATCCTTTAGGCTTTTTTTGTCACAGCTACAGAGTATACTAAAGCCCTACGAGGTGTACCGTTTTTATTTGATCCTTTAGGAAACATTTATTATTTTTTGTAATAACATACCAGTGCCACCATGGAAGCGTCGCACAGCCATAATATCAAAAGGTGCCTTATACTATGCTACCTACTTATTGCGCTCAGACTGCCACACCATATAAACATTATCTGGCTTGTGACTTCATATAGTATTGCTTATACTATTATATTTATATTCCATATAATGTGATAGAATTATTTTCCCTTGTTATGATTGTTTTACAGTTCAGATACGTGCATATGGTCTCAGGATCCTTTGTCTATTGCCTGAGAATAACTAAGGAGAAAACTGGGAAGGCTGACAAATGATGTTGACAAAATGCTGGCAAATTGCCCAGAATTCTACAGAAGGTTGTTTACTAAGTCCTGGGTATTGTGGACTGCACAGGAAGCCAAAGAAAGGGGGAAAAAAACCCCATAAAAATACTTCTCATTTGAAAAAGAGCTGATAACATTTAGAAAGTGATATAATGAATTCTTAAGCTCTCTGTCATTTACAGAATTTCTATAGACATGAAAATACCATTCTTGTTCTTACCTCAGGTCTTTTCTTTATCTCTTCACTAATGCAGAAATCATGTAGACTTGAATTCAGTTCTTGGTGGGTAAAAAAATGCTTCTGAATGCACTTATAATGGAAGATTGTAAAACAAAGTGTGATCTGAGTGGAATGTTTTCACCACAGAATAGATAAAGAAATTATCTCATTTTCAAACGTATAATCTCTATCTCAGATAAAAAATATTTTTTTGAAGTACTGTTAAAATATAGCTTCAGAAATTCTGTTGAAAATCAGTCTGGCTGAATGATCATGGAGGAAGAGAGAACAGAGTAGAGAGGAAATAGAGAATTTTAGGCTGAATTTATTAATTCATTTATTAATCTTATTAATGTTTGCATATTTCTCTTTGTGAATGTGTGTATCATGTACACTGTGATAAACATCAGGGTTTTTTTGTTTTGTTCTTTTTAACAGATTCTTCCTATATGATATTTGTTTTGGGGAATACTTCGATTCAGACAGCACTTTAGTCTTGTAAGAGTTCTTAGATTGTAACCAGAGTGATTCAAGTTCAAGTTTTCCAGTTATTTAAAATTACATTTAGTAAAATGGCCCAGCTTCATATTCTTAGCAGATCTCACCATGGATTTATGTACTTGGTTTTGCTTAGGGCCCTCGGGGACCGAAAGGTGATACTGGTTTGCCTGGATCACAAGGACCCAAAGGACAACAGGTAAGAGAAAATGCATAGGGAAAAGTACATTCTGCAAAAGAATAAGTTTGCATAAACAGTAAACATGAGGTGACCTCTTCTTGTATGTTGATTGTCTGTGCTGACACCCTGAGATCCTAACCAAAAGGCCAAATAAAAAAAGATTAATCTTTTCCTCCTCCTTTGGCACAGAGGGCTTTGTCTACAGAATGAAACTGCAGTTTTCCATTCCCAAAGAGAGTATGAGACTTGGGGAGATCTCTCCTTAGGATCCTTTGCCTTATTTCTGCACAACAGTGTTTATTCTGTAGCACCGCTGAGAGGTGACTAAGGACTGACTCTGTTACTTTGTAAATATTGCAGCTGCTGTTCTGTTTTTCTTCGCCTTCTCATCCATCTGCAGGAAGCAGGGAAGAGGAACATCTAAGTTATTACAATCTTGGGGATAACAAAAAGAAAAACAAAAACGCTTTCTGCTTATTCTTTGTAAGCTGACCTCACTTTCTCACAAGTAATAGGAAGGCTTGGAAATGGTTAATTATGGTTTGAAATGGGATTGTAGATGAACAGCATCTTCATTGCTCAGAAGGAAACATCTCAGGCCACAAATACCAGTCCCCTTTTGTCACAAGGATTCTTGTTCTTTTATGGAGTGCATAAAATGATCAAGCTCAACCTTGAAACCAGCTGAGTGGTTTTTGGTTTGGGTTGTGGGGTTTTTTTGTTTGGGGGGTTTTTTTGGCTTCTGCTGTCCACACTGGAAGGAACTCAAAACTTTGAAGCCATTATATTTTGTACCCACCAATGACATAGTGATGTTTCTGAGGCGTGAACACCAGGTTATGCTCAAGAGTGATAAAGTTGGGAACCACAATGAAGCTGCACAGACACCTAGGAGCATTTTGCTTTAAGGATCATGAGATGCTTCTGTTGCAACCTGAGGTCCATAGAATCTCACAGAAGATAAAGTCAGTAAAGCCAAGCTTTAGAGAGACTCCAAAGTATCCAAAGTGTCCTCAGGGAGACTCCAAAGGCTCCAAAGATTTAAAAACCTGAAGAAGAACTGAGTTATAGCACTTCCTGCTCAGTGGAAGTGCTATAACCTGGACTGTCATTTTAATCAGCAATGCAATTGTTAGTTTCAAGCTAGATTTCTTTCATTAGAGATCTTGGGAAAGCTATTTTACCAAGCTGCTAGGAGGAGGAAAGTTACAGCTGAAAGATCCAGAGTGGGAACCATGCACTGGCACGGGGGAATGATAATTCATGGTTGTGGTGCTGTTACTCAATGGAATTACCCCTTGAAGAAGTGGAATGTAGATGGTCATAATTTGAATGCTCGGAATTGGCCTTCATTGAAGGTAATGAGGCTGCATCGTGCCAGGCATATAGAGAGAACGATTCATGCTTTCCTGATAGCAAAATCAGGACAGTTAGTGTTCTATCAAGATTTTACATTTCCAGCAGGATTTCCTGACCAGTATCTAAGCTGATGGTACACAAGAAGACACCAGTAGCCTGTCTGCCTTTGGCAGAGGTCTTTTGTGAACACAGCATGTTTCACATAGTTACTCTATTGAGAGCAATCAAAAGCCTTTTTAAAAAAATAAGTACTTATTCGTCTCAGGGAGATTTACATGAGCAGGATACTTTTAGTGTACTTCATTATGTTTTAAGAAAGATCAGCCCTTTTTTCCCCCAGAATCAAGCTTCACCCTACTCACATTGATATTTCTCTGTTTGATATCACAGCATGACTAATCTGTCATGCTTCAAACAGCAGTAACGCTGCTTTGACTTCTTCTGATTCATTGAGAACTACCTTGTAAACACCATAAAATTACTTTGATAATTGCAGGGTGAAAAGGGAGAACCAGGAGCTATCATTGCTGCTGATGGATCTTTAACGGAATTATTAGGAAGAAAAGGGGACAAGGTGAGCTAATACTGTGTTATGTTCCTCCAGAATGTTTGGTGGCCTTGTTACCAGCCACTTCTAGATAATGCATGAGTTCTCCTTGTCATTGCTCGATGTGTGTCTGTCCTCAACAGGGTGAAGCTGGAGTGGTGGGATCAGTGGGACCAATGGTAAGACATTTCCAAAGATGAGTGGATTCTTTTTTTTATTTGCTTTGGTTTTACAGATAATAGTAAACGTAAAGTTAGTTTGTTTTAGCTTTTCATTCCTTCTGAGTAGGGATCATAAGGAGTATTCATGCTTCAGGATGATCAATGTCCTTCAGAAAAGAATGTGGTTGTTACATATGTGGTGCTGTAAACTACGGACTTGATTCAGAATTTAAATTCTGAATGCACAATGTATCCATTACTATCTAAACAGACAGTGAAATATCATCAGAGCCAGAAACTTGCATAACTTATGACTCTGAGTGAACTCGGCTTGTTTAGCCCTGAAGATAAAAGGCTGAGAGGAGCTCTAATTGCTCCCTGCCAGTGCCTTAAAGGGAATTATAGAACAGATAAAGTCAGGTCCTTCTCAGAGGTGCACAGGAAAAAGACAAGTGCCAATGATCACAAGCTGCAGCAAAGGAAATTCCAATTAGTTATAAAGCAAAAAATTCACAGTAAAAGTGGTTAAACACAGAAATAGGTGCTCAGAGAGATGGTGGATTGTGGAACAAGGTGCTGAGCGGAATGACCTAACTTGGAAGTTTGTCTTGCTGCAGAAATAGGTGCTCAGAGAGATTGTGGAACAAGGTGCTGAGCAGAATGACCTAACTTGGAAGTTTGTCTTGCTTTGAGCAAGGGGTTGTACTAGATGATCTCTAAAGTTCCCTTCCAATCTAAATTGTTCTTTATTTCTATGATTTAAAACAACTGACTACATCAGGCTCAATTTCTGTCGGTGCCAATAATTTGCAACTGCCTTGGATTCTGAGGAAGCTGCAAATCAGGCAGTAGTAAGACCATTTACCAAAATCAAGATTTAGAGGCCTTCTTTCAGGTACTTGGCCTGATATTTTTGAATGGACACAGACTATTGTGTGAAAGCACAAGAAATTAGTTATAAAATAAGAACAATTGACCAGACTCAGTAGTGTTAGAGCAGGAATTAATTTCTTCTAGTCTAGCGTTCCAAAGATCAAGGATATTGAGTGTTTCTTTGCTTCTGCTTTTGATGTAGCTTGCTCTCTGTTGTGCCTAAGTGAATGCTAGTGGGATATGTTTTTTTGCTTCTGCTTTTGATGTAGCCTGGTCTCTGTTGTGCCTAAGTGAATGCTAGTGGGTGTTGTCGTTTCTGCGCACCAAGGTGTGTAGGAGATTTTGCCATTAGTTTCTGTGGTCTTTAGAAGTGGCTAACTGGGTGTGCTGAGTAACTGCTTTTTTAATTACTGTATATCAGAATACCTTGAGGTATCCTAACTTACTTTTGCTTCTGCTTTTGATGTAGCCTGGTCTCTGTTGTGCCTAAGTGAATGCTAGTGGGTGTTGTCGTTTCTGCGCACCAAGGTGTGTAGGAGATTTTGCCATTAGTTTCTGTGGTCTTTAGAAGTGGCTAACTGGGTGTGCTGAGTAACTGCTTTTTTAATTACTGTATATCAGAATACCTTGAGGTATCCTAACTTACTAGAAGGGGAGTTCCTTGTATCAGAATACCTTGAGGGGTCTATCCTAACTTACTAGAAGGGGAGTTCCTTTTCTTCTCCTTGTATGACTACAAGGTGAGTCTATACTTTCACCTCGACACCTCCTTGTATAGACAAGGTGAGTCTATACTTTCACCTCGACACAGAATCATAGAATAATTTAGAATGGAAGTGAACTTCAGAGATCATCTAGTCCACACCACTGCCCAAAGTAGGTCTATTTAGCTCAGGGATTTGCCCAGTCGAGTCTTCAACATCTCTTAGGACAGAGATTCCACAGCCTCTCTGGGCAGCACGTTCCAGTATTTGACAATCTTCTGGGTAAGAAAAGTTTTTCCTTATATTTATTTGGAATTTCTCATGTTCTAACTTGTGTTCATTGCCTCTCATCCTATTGCTGTGCACTCTTCACGACATGTCCTTTTTCTATCAGCCCCAAACTCTGTGTTTACATCTCCTTTTGTACTGCCACGAGATGCTTCATACACTTCAGCATGCAGACAAGGCCATTCAGAGGAAGTTCTTGCCAGCACTGGTGCAAATGATTATGCTGCAGGAGAATTTGGCACACAGAACCTGTCTCAAGACAGAACTCTAGTTTGATCATCGCTGCTAATGGGGATGATTCATTTTGGTGTTGTCGCATAGAAAAAATCCCTTTGTAGTCAGTGGGAGTCCTGTGCAGCAAAAATATACAGACTTCAGAGTGCTGGGCCAGAGCCTCTGTGGCATAACTTACCAAAGTTTTCATTACGATGGTTCTGTTCGACTTTGCACAAAGTAAGACTCTGGCCCAGGAACAGCTGTGAGGTAGCTGGGGACTCTGATCGTTCCTCTGTGTTGTTAGAGCACAATGAACTCATACACAAGTTTCCAGAATTTAAAATAAAAGTCCCTACTCATTGCTCCCCACGTTTTCGAGACTTCAGCTGGACAGAAGAGAGGATCACAGGAGCTTGGAGCACAAGGAGCTACAGAGAAGTAGTGGTTTGGTATATGAGAGCTAGGGATAGTCAGGTTAGTACTGTTATTAGCAAAAGCAGAAGAGACAGACTGAATCCAACCTCCTGCCACAGGGGAAATGAGAATCTTTTACCTGCTCGATTATGCTGTTCACTGTCAGTGAAGCAAACTGCTGCACATAACCGAACAGGAGCCCTTAGTAAGAACCACAGTGTCAGTCTGCCCAAATCGACTCTCTGCTGTTGTAAGTGAAATTTCCTTTTCTGGTAAGCAGTCTCCTGTGGCTTCCTCACTTCATTCTTTCACTTCTAGCTGTGACTGCTGGCTTCTGTCTCGGGGAGTCGCTAACATCTGTTGGGGGTGGGCTGGCACTCTGACAGAGGAAAGAGTAAAGGTGGCTCCAGCACGGTCAACTCTCACATTGTTGATGTTTAAAGTCCCAGTTAAAGCATGAGATCCAGACACTTCTCTTTATTTAAACTAATAAAAAAGTCTGTTTCCAATCATCTTCATTGCTCAGTAAAGCTCAGATTTGCATATTCTTAAAGGCTCAAATACCAGAAAGTGAAATAGAAAAATATCCCACAACATTTTGGATTTTTTTTTTTCCAAACCCCATTATTGGATATGGTAGCACAGAAGGGTGGGTTGAATGATTTTGAAAGCTTGGGGGCACAATATTGCCAAAGTCCACCAGCAATCTATTGCCTGCTTTAGACACAGGCATTAGCTTTGATCACATGGGCAGAAATTACCTTCAAACAGGAAATGAAATAGAAGTTTAATAAAGGTCCTACCATCTTCGAACAGTTTCAGCTGCCATCAGTGAGCTTTAAACTCCGATTACAATGGTGATGTTATGAATCAATATGTTCACATGTTAACCACTTCTGAATTTCATCTCTAATCCAGTCTTCAGTTTTGGCGTGATAAAAATTACAACAATTAATCCATGAATTTCAGCTTGATGCTAAGATAAATCATCTCGTCATCATCAGATATATTTTCCAAGAATGTACACCACTTTTCGATGAAATGATATTACATAAAGGCAAGGACAAACACTTGCCAGTTTAAAAAAAAAGTTTTGTTAATTGAAAATTCCATCAATATGGCAATAGTTTAATTCATAAAATGGATTGGTAAGAGATTGGTACTTGAATCCAGATGGTATTCCTGTGTCAATATTCTGCTGATCAGATGAGATGCAAAACTCTGAGTATGCAAATCACCCAAGTATAAACATCAGGCTATTTCTTGCAACCTTTCTAGCTCTTCACTTGCCTGTTCTCCCTCTATGCCTTGAACTGAGACATAACATGGCAACAGAATTGGACTGTAAATAAGGAGACTTGGTTCTGCCACAGGCTTGCTTCCTTCTTAGTCTCCGCTTTGCTTAATAATCAAGAGCAAGTGAGCGGCAAGATGGGGATTTCCTCTTGGTTTTTGATTGTTTGCTAGTTATCCTTTGAAGTAGCAATCACAATGCCAACAAATGTTTGTTACTGTTAAAGTGATGTGCTGAAATTGTGGTAAGCAGTGCCATAGCCAATGTCTTTCTTCCATCAGCATAGGTCTGTGTTAACCACCATATTGCAGGTAGCAATAGAAAGTCTGTTACAATAATCACACCTGTGATTTCTCAGGATTGAACACGTCAATTGTCACTTATAAGTGGTACCTGCATGAGATCTATAGATAGAGATTATTTAACCAATGATGCAAGAAGGGGTATCTCTTAGCATTTCCCCAGACTGAAAAAAAGAAAATGAAAACAGGAAGGTTGATACATATGCAAAGAGATTGTCTAGACCCTTGTGGTTTTGTTGAGTTTCAGGAAGCTGACAGCAGATGAAAGTTTGTGGTATCCTCAGGTTTACTGCTTTTTGCTGATCACTTGCTGACTGTCTAGAAGTTGCATGCTTGCAAACGCCCAATCATAGATCGTCCATAGTCCTGGACCACTTTTCCCAGGCAGCCTGCTTGCCTTTTCTTTTTGCAATCACTGGTATCAATTTGTGATGCCTGATGGGTCAGTCAGTCTTGTATAAAGAAGAATCTGTTCTGTTTCAACTGTCAGCCCCATAAATCCACATACCCAGGCTGGCAAGAGGCATGTAGAAGCCTGGCACTATATGAATTCTCAGGCTGGTCCACAGATGTTTCCTCATAGGGCCTGATTCAAAGATAATTAGAAAAACAAAGCAAACCAAAAGGAGATGCACAAAGCATACACCACTAACTGCCTTTTTTCTACTGATTGATACATTTAATTTTCCTTCAATACATAGTGACTCAGTTTTGAATTGCACACCCTACAAATGGCTGAGAATTCAGACTTTGTTTCAGAAAACCAGTCTTTTCCAAGCCAGAGTTGACTGTTATATGCAGGCCTCAGCTTCTGAGATCACTCAGCAGAGCAAGTAGAGAGGACATTCTGTGCATTCTCTGCAGACAATCACAGACTGATTTTTAATGCAAATATAAAACTATGCCTCTTATTCTAAATAATCAAATATTTGTCAAAGATATGTTCCATATATTCTCCATAATCACATTTTCTTTTTTGTCCAGGGACCAATAGGACCTACTGGACCTAAAGGAGAACTTGGTTTCCCAGGACGTCCAGTATGTATTATGCTCTCAAGTAGAATAGAGATACAGGAGTTTGCTTCTGACATATACTACTGACTATTTCTACTTATTTCAGGGCCGCCCAGGACTGAATGGACTGAGAGGTGTGAAAGGTGATCGAGGCGAAGCATTTAATGTAAGTTCTTATGTATTGCAATTAGTTGAAAAAAAATCCTGTTAAAATCTTAAGTGAAGTCTGAGTTGTATGAATTCCTTTAAAATGATGACAGGACTAAAAACCTGAAATGATCTAGCAATAATTATATGTTTCTGCTACTTTTCCTATCTGGTAACAATCATTGAAAAGTCAACTTCTGGGTCCATCTGGACAGTTCTTGCAGATATACATAGTTGTATCAGCTTCCAGGTGTAACAGTTATATGTGTGATTCACTGTTAGTACAGCTGGTTCAAATAGCAAATGATCTGGGATTGCCAACTCTTTCCATATATCAAAGACTTCCTGATCCAGGCCATCAGTATGACCCCTCATGGTGTAAAGATACTCCCATAGGCTCTTAGCTATCTAGCACAGGTACAAACAGAACTTGAGCATAGGAGATACTTGCTAATACCTACTACCTGCTTTAGTTGTCATGTACACGTATCCACAATAATGACCACTGCATAGATGATAGCATATCCATGCCTACCTACAACCTGTAATTATGGAATGACAAGTGATGAACCAAGGTCCTGGTGCTGGAAGTCTGTTCTTACGAAAAGACTTCATACAAGTGGTCTCATGGCAAACATGAAGACTGGACTACACAGCCATAAACACTGCTGAGCATAAGCAGTAAGTTTCACAATAGCAAAGTAATTTGTGTGGCTGTTCTGATGTCATGGGGCAATCTGTGCTAGAAAAATTGGTACCCATACCACAACAGCAGCTAATAATATTTCATCTGCATCAGAGTTATGCTGAAAAAAAAGACAAGGGTATTTTACTGTGTTAGCATAGAAATCATAAGGTAGGGATCAGCTAGGCATCAGAAGAGGTGATCTAGTCAATCTCAAATTAGACAAATTCTAATTGGAAGAAAATGACAGAAAAAATGACTAGCCACCGGCAGAAAATATTAAAGTAGATTTTCCATTCTTCCATATATTCAAACAGTGTCAAGGTTCATTTTCTGGATTGTCTGCCTTAACCAAACAAAAACTATTAAAGCAAGTATAACTAGATGAAGAAGCTCAGGCTGGGAGATTAAAGCAAACAAGCAAACAAAACAGGCTACATGTTCTAATAGTCCTTCCTGGAGTGCTCAGGGAAGGTAAAATCTAATGGAACTTTAATTATTGATCAGATGACATATGTCACCTCACAGAAGCTTGCATTGATGTGGAGAGAAAGATGGACATGGCGTGGTGCCAGGTTTTTAAATGACACAGTAAAGAGTTGGTGTCTTTTTTTGTAAAGGGCAGTCACGCCTCCAGTCTGGCAGCATTCCTTTAAGGTGTTAATTAGTGTGTAGTTATCTGACTGGCACTTGATAGTATATGAATCTCAGCAGTCTTGAGAATCCCAGACCAGTCTCGGATACCTAATTTTCCTTGGATGAGAGATCCAGTGCCTTTAATTTAATTTCAATTTTTAGTGCTTTGGGGTTTCCGGTTTGGGATTTGGGGTTTTTTTTACCCTGGAAACAACAATCTTAGACCATTTTGTTCTCCACAGAGTGCTTTAGGTTAAATATTAAAATTCACCTGACAGATTGGTGCCTGTAAGTGAATGCTTAGTCTCCTCTCAAATTTTTTTGGTTAAATGGGGCCCTCTGAGCCCCTTGGCCTTCTTTCTGTAGGGTCAGATGTATTGCATATGAAAAGATCTGTCTAGTATCTTCCTTCTTTCACTTTCTCTTACCAGGGTCTTCCTGGCTTGCCTGGACCCCCAGGGCCCCCTGGACCTCCAGGACGTATAGTTTATATCAAAGGAGTAAGTACAACTGGGGATCAGGTGTTGCTCTAGAAACAGTTTGCAAAGGGAAACTTCAAAACTTGTCTCAGGCAACACAGTTTACAGTGGGTGACCTTGCTTGTGTGCATAGGAAAAAATCTCTTAACTGGAGCCACTGTCACGTAAGAATTTTGCCCCACACACACAGAGTGGGACCTGCTGACAGAGCTGTGAGAGCTCCCAGGCAGCAAGCTGGGTTCTCTGCTCGGGAGGTGCTGATTTCTGTTTCCAGGCTTTGTCCCGTCATGTCTATTTGATCTATTTGGTGTGTTATCTGCTGCATTATATCTACGTTCATTAAAATAATTTCCCTTCCTGTTTTCAATAGACAGTTTTCCCAGTCTCTCCCAGACCTCATTGCAAAATGCCAGTAAGAATCTTCTCTTAGCAAAATGCATGGCCATGACAATACATAACCAAAGTAGCTATATACATAACCATGGTAGCTTTGCAGCTTTTCTCCCCCTGCCTTCTGCTTTGCACCAGAGATGTGTTTTGCCTAGTCTTCAAGATAACAGATTTTCAAGTGATTAGATACCCAAAATTAGCCATATATAAAATATGTAACAGAACTAGAAACACTAGAACCTTTTGCTTACAGCACTTTGATTACTTGGTTGTCCAGCACTTTTAATGCCTTTCAAAGCCCGTGTTTCCAAAGTTTAAGAGTTGCTTTGGGGAGCTGAATGTTTATACATACATGTACACACATTTTTCAGATGTATATATAAATACTGTCTCCATGTTGTTATGTTTTTAGCTGTTTTCAATTTCCCTGTCCAAAATAAGACTTGTTATGTACTTCATTGTGGCATGAAAGATGCATCAGGAAAGAAAGATCATGTTCTTTATTTGACCCTCAAATGCAGTCTATTCACATATAAACATTTATTATCTCAAGAATGGCAGCTGGTGAAGCTCTGCCCCTGCTTTCCAAAGGGAATGACAAAGCCCCCATTACCTTCAAAGGACCTGCAATTTCACACATAGTGTCAAAAGAAAGGAGGTGGAGTTTATATTTTCGGAACACCCTGATGCAATTTTTGTTTAATGAATCATGGAAATTACATCCTACAATGAACTGCGAACAGAGTTCAGTCCTGGAAGTACTTTCCTTAGGGCAATATTGTACTGTTAAGCCATGGGTTAGGTACGTGGAAAGGATTCTGTCTTTGAGAGCCACAGTCCTCCCCTGAATAGTGTGGTGTGCCATACAGCAGTATGGCTGTTCTACTTTTCTGGTAGACAGTATAGCTCCAGATAGTATTATGCCCCCTCCTCCAATTTCCATTCCAGTTCTTTTTCACTTATTTTAGAGAAGCAGCTCTTAACTCACAGCATACTAGATGCATTGGTACTCATCATTACCCTACCCTTACAGCTGAAGAAAGATGTATCCCAGCTTAAGGATCTTTCTGTTAATTAATGATAAACAGTCATTACCCCATGGTAATTTGACATTTCTATGGGTTTGGCCTACCACCTCCAGACACCATCTTTTTACCTCTTTGAATTCCTCCCTTAAATCTTCCCATTCCTGCCATATAACATTCTTGTATGTTAATCACATATGTCCATATCACATATGTCCATATCACATATGTCCATAATCACATATGGATTAGTCAGCCTCACCTCTGGACTGGACGAGGCCCTGAGCAACCTGATGTAGTTGATCCTGCTTTGGGCTAGACAATCTCCAGAGATGCCTTCCAACCTCAACTCTCCTATGGTTCTCTGTGGAATGATTCAAACAAGCCTGTTTTAGCTGAATTTCAGATAATAATAAAAAATCACTTTCCAAGAAGGTTACAATCAGTGAAAAATAGCAGTAACTTTTATGTGCACAAGTAATAGAAGCCTGTACTTATAAGCACCTCTTCGTGCATCTGAGTATGCTAGATAGATTTGTCCTACATTTGTGAATAATCTCCTAAACCTATCCGAGTTTATAGATAAGAAGTCTGCTGTACATGCCTACATAAATGAATATCGATAAAGAACTACAGACTGAACCCCACAAGTTTTCCTCATGTGAACTGAACTTCTGAAGTTAATGGAGCTATCCATGTGAGTAAGACTTCTAAGAGCTAATACTGCAGGATTAGCCAGATGCAGCACCTTTTTTCATTTTTTTTCATATGCTTGCTTAGATTCATATAAATAGTACTAGCTAGTACTAAGATCTGTCCATTTCCAAGAACCGTGCCACATTTTAATGCCTGCACTGTCCCTATTTTGAAGACAGGCAGTAAAGTAGCATGCCCACTGTTACAAGTGGCTGGTGTCAGAACAGGATAGACTAGAATACCTTCTGCCTCCCAGTTGTGGTCTCAATGCATCTGGAGCATAGGTCAACATCAGACAGTAGGCATAGCCATGATCTGATGAAAAATTTACAAACACAGTCTGTTATCTTACAGTCAAAAATCAAATCCTGCTTTCAAATGCAGTGACGTAAATTCAGAATTGTTCTTGGAGAATGAGTTTTCTGATGCTTCACTGGCATGACTGAGAGTAGGATTTGCTGATGCCTCCAAAACGCATGTTGTTAGCCTCTTGCTGAAAGCATGTTGCATGTTAAAGAGAGCACAACCCTGAAAAGAGCTTGATCAGCTAATACTTGGACCTTGTCAAACTGGAGATAATCCCAGAGTGTTGTTATAATATTCACTGTGATAGCATGCAAATTTTCCAGGATTTCAGTCACACCAAGTAATGCACTTCCATTGGTTAATGTGTATGGATAATTTTTAATAGATTTCTTTGTCTGTAGGTGAGCACTCCTTACCCTGGAAATCAAGAAGCTCTTAATGTCCATGGTGAGTAATTCTTTTCTTGTACCTTGATTTAAATAAGCTTTTTTTGTTTTTTCTTAATTAAGCTCTTTTTGCTTTTTCTTGGCTATTGCATAACTGGGTTTATGGGGGAAAAAAAAGAAAAAAAAAAAAAAGGTGGTCTCGCTTCTTTTTCTGGTGAAACTATATCATATCTTGGTCCAGTCTCAACATGTAGGCCAAAGAACAAATGAGCCTAGGTGTGCACTTTGAAGACTAAGATTTATAAATTGAGCAGTGCCACACAGTTTCTGCAAGATCTAATCTTAGAAGTCCTCTGTCAGAGCAGAGGTGTCACACATGGCTGCACCAAATCATTACTTTCTGCTCCGGCAATGCTCCTAAGATGCAAATTCTAAAGTCCACCTGATACTACATCCCACCAAGCAACCAGGTGATCTCATTCCTCCAATGTTTGACTGACGGTGTCAAAACCACTTCCCTTCTCTGAGTGACTGATACCAAAAAACCTCAGCTTGTAATCAGAGCTCCCATCCTTTTGCTTGAAAGAAAATCATCACAGGCAGGGTCAAGACATACTGGCTGCTGGAGTCCTAGAGAATATTGCTGAGGGAAAGAAACAAGCTATTAACAGTTCTTTCTGTGAGGCGGGGGGTGAATTTTCTGGCGAGATGAAGAAATGTCTCTCATCCCCTCCTTCACTAGGAAGGTGAGGCCTGTTGAAAAGAAAGTAATTTCTGGGGTTTGGGAGTAGCTAGGACAAAAACCTGGCAGGCAGGCAAAGAAGGAAGTAAGACTAATGGGGAAGGAGAATGAGAAACTCCACACAAGAATCCTGGGAAAATTGTCACAAGGTTGGAGAAGTTTTGTTAGTTTTCACTCCTTTTAATGGAAGGGGGTTTCAGGACATTGGAGGGTCAAATTTGTGGGGTACAATAATGCCCTGAGCCTTCTTTCTGAATCCTTACTGCTGACTGACTCACTCACCTCTTACAAGTGAAAGCCCGAGTCTTGTGCTTGGCAAACTGTCCACATTTCTTCAGGGCTATGTCCGCAGAATTAAGTCCATAGAGCCTAGGCTGTCCAGTGTTGCTCCTAAATCCAAAGGCTCCCAATTGCTTGTCTCCCCCTGCACACAGGGACTCCAAAAGATTTCTCTGTCCATATTTTGTTTTGCCCACAGAGAGCTCAAAGTTCTTGTTTCAAGGCATTTTCCTTAGTTCTAAGAGTTGACTCCAAGCTGATAAAGGACATTCTACTCTTTTTAGACTTTCAGCCTAGGCAAAAGCTTGAAAGTGAGGATTTTGACTATAACCATTTTTGTTTAAAACTTGTCAGTTTTATTCAATTAATCATTATAGTTTTATTTTCTCTAAATGCATACTGTTTCTCAACCCAAACAGTAAATCCTAAAGTCACTCCAGCATGGATCCCTTCCTTCTTTGGTTTAAGGAGGAAAAGTCACCATTTACATACAGTCTTCATCCCATTTTAAGGTTATTGTAATGGTCTGACCATTCCATTCTTGAGCTAATACTCCACCCAATAAGCACAAAGCTGTCACTTACTGTGCATTCCAGGCATTAAAATTAACGCAAGCCTGCGTCGGTGGTTCGGTGCTTTTGTCCTTCCTCAAAGACATGCTCCAAGGATGGATTCAGTTACGTGCAGAAGGAAACAGGTAGCAATTCTGCGCCAAAAAAAAATGGGGAATGCTGATTGAAATAGTACTGCCTTGACCCAATTGTGTGAAAGTCCTTCAGTGCCAAGCGTAGCAGAAAGTTCTGTGACAGTTTTGCCCCTTCAGAGCTTCTTGGAGCTGGAAGAAAAGTTGGGACATTAAAACAAAGTCCCAGAGCATTCACAGGAAGCAGCCGGCAGTTTTCTTATGATCCACTAGTACACAATGGAGAAAGAGGTCTTCTCAAGATCACAGAGGAAATAAAGTTAGTGGTCTTCCTCCTTTTATTTAACTACTTATAATAAAAACTTATTCCTGCCTGTTTATTATACTTTCAGAGTAATTTTGTGGAAAAAAGCAGTAGTGCAGCCTCTAATATATAGCCTGAACCTGTTTCCCAGTTCCCATGTTCCTGGGAATTAAATCACTGTTCCCATCACTGTGCAAAGGAGTCAGGAGAGTTTACAGATTAATCAGATCAGTCAGAGCCTGCATGGCAAAAATAGTGCATGCAAAACAAGTTGTATAATGCAGCAGTAGTATAAGTTATACCAGCTCCAAATGCTGGGGCTTGGGGCTGTTTCTGGAGGAAAAGATGGCTATCTGGGGACCAGTTCTCTAGTGTTGTCCAGAGAGTAGGCAGTGGGCTGATATCAGCAACTGGAACAGCTCCCCTCCCTCAGCAATGACTGAGACACTTGGAAAGACCAGGCCATCTTGATACAAATGGAAAAAGAAAGGAAGGGAAGGAAAAGAGTGCAAGGGATCAGGATAGGGGCAAGAGTAGACATAGTAAATGATAAAGGAAGATATCTTGAAGAAGAGAAAGTCAGAGCTTACTGGTATAAGCTCTGTATTGGTCTCAATATTTTAAGATGACCTAAAATACTGATGACCGGACTGGAAATCTGCCTGGAAAATAACTCTGAAGATGTCACAGTTGGATGGTTACGGTTCAGCTGACAACTAGGAAAACTGTCTAACTGCACACCTGAGAGATTGTGTGATTGGCCTCAGTGCAAGACAAAATGAGGCCTGGAAAGTCTGGAAACTTTCCTTGTAATATGGGGCTCCGAAAGGGAAGAAGTCCATCTCATTCTTCTGTATTTGTAGCCATTCTGTGTAACTAGAAGAAGGAAAAATGCTGTAACTATTTTTCAAACTTTCTTACCAATAAAGTCTTATTTATAAGTGGCACCAGGTCATGGAGTACAGACTGGGTACCCAAGCAAGAGATTGTTTCTGTGCTTGCCCCAGTGAAATTCACAAATGTAATCAGATCAGAGCCAGTGTTCTTAGTGATCCACTGACTCCCAGCTTAGATCACAACTGAACACAGGGGCTGAAGATATCACAGGCAGGAACCATTAAAAATTACTTCAAGAGATGTGTCTTGTATCTGCTTGTTATTGTACTTCAGCACCCTTCCTGCTCATAACTCAGAATAGGACCACCTCACCTTAAGCTTGAAAAGGCATTTCTACCTGAAGGAAGTGGCTATAAGATGTTACTGTGGCAGAATCGTGTTATTTTACATGAATGTTGCAAAGACATTAGCAATTACTCAGACAGAACAAAGAGAGAAATCAGACCTAAGAAGTCTAAATACTCAGGGGTCATTTTACCCAGATATTTTATAGGTAAGGTTACCACAAAAGTAGAATAATATCTGGAAAAATAGAAGGTTTATCCAGATGGATTTGGGTGCAATTATACCCTTAGCTCACCTGAATGGAAAATTATGCTAAAAGCGTAATTTGTTCTCAGAAAACATTTTCTTCATTATTCATGCTTTTATGACATGAAGGAGCAATAACCGATAACATTTTTGACATTCACAGTTGCAGATATTATAATTTATTGGTTTGTTTTGGAGTCTGGAGATAGTAGAAGATGTGATATCAAACGCAGAGCCATAACTCAAGAACTGTTTCTACACTTGCCCAGTGAAATTCACAAATGCAGTGAAAACTGGTTTGTTCAGAAGGTCTTAGGCTAGGTAGTTAGGGAAGGGAGAGTGAAAGATTGACTTGTAAGAGAAAGATTGTCTTGCACATGTTGGGGTTGATAAAAGGGGACAATCAGGCAGCCGTTCAATGTTCATGAGGAGAGTGAGACAAGCATATAGGGGCTGGACCCACGTGCCCCACATGTACGGAAAAGTCTGCTCTCCTTTCCGGTGGTTTGGTTGTCGCTGCTGTAGTCTCTGCTGTTTGCAAGTTCTCATGAATTTGTGGTGCTTTTATGGCAGGTGCTAAAGCAAACAAAGATTCCTGGGGGCTGCACAGTTCAGCGGACTTAAAAGGAGAAAAGGGAGACAGAGGTGCTCCAGGACCACCAGGTATACTAAGTCTGATATGTCATTGACATCCTGTAAAGGAATACATGTTTAACTTAAAAAGCCATTCAACAATGATACTTACCTCTGCAGCCTTACCTGCCTAAAAACTTATACCTAGGTTCCCTCCGGAACTGACAAACAGAACAACAAAGCCCATGTTATCAAAAATGTCTTCTGAAAAAAAGTATCCGTACTGCACATTTGTGACTATAATGAATGTGTTAAATACAAGAAGAGATATTGAAAGGTAACTGGCAAGTCAGAGATTTTTTGAAATCTTAGAACGACATCATGTCCACTCCCTGAGATATCATTCTGTTGTCAATCTTTTTGAGCCAACTGGGCTAAAATCCAGTGCCTCCCATTTCAGGGTAACACACCTCTGCATTCTGAGTTCAAGGCAGTCATTTGTTGGTGACAGTCCCACTTCCAGCAGGAGGTGGAACTAGATAATCTCCATTTCAACCAACTTTTTAATATTCTATGCTTTATTTGTGATAATCATGAAAAGTCTGTGTGAACTAAAAATACCAATTCACTAGTGGTAGGAGCATCATAAGAAACGTTCCTCATCAAAGATTTACTTTTCTGTATCAAAAAGTTGATACCCAATGCTAATTCTTACACATTCAAAAATAGTTACAGAAACAAGCATCTATTTGAAAAGATTGCTATTACAAACTCTTCCTTTTCTGTACATTTTTTGAAATCTCATACACTGAGATAAGGCTTTGGTCAGTGCCAGAAATCATTTGAAATAGAAGAAGCAGTATATCAGATTAATATTGCTATACCATATTTATAATCTCTCTCCTCTAATGTGTTGATAATAAATACAAAACTACATCTATATGGATATTTCTGTCTTTGTCCAAGACACAGTTCTGTTGACTGAAGATGATGGTTTGGGTATCTTTAAGAGGACATCTGTTTGTTCTAATGAAATATGTTTTCTTGTCTTATCCTCATGAATTTTTATTCTGATCAATATCCAGTGCCTTAAAATAAATGGTTAGTGCTTCCTAGTCATCAATAAATTTGTAAAACAAAGAAGCAAGAAGCATTCCTAAACAGAAATTAAGAAAATTTTCTCTTCTGTGCTGGTTTATCCACCATGAACATGTCTGTTCCCTCCCAGGTTCTCTATTTAATGCAAATTAAGGTCCTACAAGTATTTTTCCCTATACCTGATGATTTCAGGTGCTTCAGAAGGAGGGGATTATGAGAGGATTATGCTTATGATCCTACTGTAAAACTTGCAGCTAGTGAAGGATGGTGAAAATAACACAAGAATTCTGGTTAAACTGAAAATTGAATTCACCTTTCTCCTAAAATAACAGAGATTATTCATTTATTTGCCAACCGAATCCAAATAGATCAACTACCTTCAATATTTTGTGAATTTAAAATATGTTAACTAAGACCAATTCTGTTTCTGCTCTAAAAAATATTCCTGATTGGTTCTTGCTTGTTGATGTAGTTGCTAAAATATTCTTTCATACAAACCAATTCTCTAGGTCTCACAGGTATCCACATAATCTTCAACAGTGAAAACTCACAAGCTAGAAGTTGCAGGGTAGTGGAACATGATTGAAGTACAGGAATTTTTCAAAACCTTCTCTGAGGGACAGATGGCTGAAGCTCCTTCTACTACAATATCTGTGGAGTTCCAGCAATCAGAAAAGCTTTCTGAACTGTGGTGCTTGTCCACACAGTGGATTTATTTTTCCTTTTCACAGAATGTCTCCCCTCCAACCTTACAAACAAGCTCTGTTAATTGATACTATGCAAAAATATGAAGCCAACACAAAAAGTGGGTAAATGGCAGGCTGCACTTTATTTAGCTACTCTGCATAGAGGCAGGTGTACTTAGTATCCATAGCATAGGTACTGTGTTCCAACCACATGTGCAATGCTCCAGCACAACCCCGGTGTTTCTGGCTGGAGGAACACAGTCTGGAGCCTTGTAAGAAAACAAATTTAGAAATAAAGGAGGAGACTTCTCTGTATCATAGTCTCAGACCCAATTGCCTAAGGCTGAAGATGTGCAAAACGAAAATGCAGTGTGTATTGCAGTGTGCTGGCCCTTGACCATAGTCAACCCCCTTCCTTCCTGTGGGTCATTCCCCAAAAGGCCAACCTCGTATTCTGGACAAGTTTTCACACTCATCCAAATCCACCCTTTGGCCTGTTTGTTTGTCCTGAGACCTTCTTTTCTGTATGAAGAAGTAGTTTCACCATTTTCTCTGTGAATCCTGGAAGGAACAGAACTAAAGGAAAATCAGTGAGGTGGAGCAAGATGGCTTCTCACTGGGCAAGCATTAATTCTGGTAATAAGTGAGTTCTGTTGCTCCAGGGGCTAAGTTAATTTCTAGATCAGATCCCAGATCTGAAAGCAGTGTAGCTTCCCTTTTTCTAAAAGAAAGGTCACCAAAGTCCTGTGACTTTATGATTGTTGGGAGGGCATGATTTTGCCATTGATTATGCACATGCAAAGTGCTGTTAGTCTGTTTCAGCAACATCTGAAAACAAACAAGTGAAAATGTCTGGTCTACCAGCAGAAGCCACACAACAAAGTATGTTTCCCTCTAGCTAGTGCTGAGATCCTTAAAAGTCCTGCCAAAAATTGCCTACCAGCCTACCACTGAATGTCTACAGAGGAAGACTGAATGAGGTTTGCCCATTGAGAAGCCATGTCAGGCAAGATTCCCTGGCTGTGTGTACTAGTAAACCAAACAGAGCCAGGACACAGAGGACAGTTGTCCTGCAGTTTAATTGTTCCCATGTGTCCTGGTCTGGATTCAGCCTACAACAAGTAACACTTTCCCAGACAATAGGATGGTCTGGGGGATAGCTTAAGCCAGGGATTGGTGCAATAGGCTGTATGGGTAAGTCTCTCATACTTCAGGAGTGAGGAGGACAGTTTAGCTGTATGGATGGAAGCTGTGCCACTTTACCTCAGGGCTGAGGAACTCGTCTAATACAGTTTACCTACCAGTGTAGGTAGACCCTACTGGTTCCCTAACCACAGATTTTTTACTTCCACTTTGAGTGGTGACCTCCCTCCTCCTCATGTACCTTGCCCAGGCCTAGTCTGCTTGCTGGTCGTCCTAGAAAGACCTCAGATACTGCCCAGTGTAGAGATTAATACTAAACAACGTCTGAGAAGGACACCTACCATTCTATTCCACCTGTCTGTTCCCCATCCCCTCACATGGATCAAGCAAATCACTGCAGCAAGCTATAATCGGCAGGGTTGGAATAAAATCAAAATAGCTGCCATAGTGGGAATACATTTCTGTCCCAGAGTACATATGTATACAATGTCTACTTGACTTAATTGTATCTGAGGTAGCATACTGAGATCTGAGTCCTATGGCTGGCATAGGGTTGGACCCAAAGATATCAAAAATTAATCAGAATACATTTGAAGAAAATGCATCGAGCTGTTATGGGCAGCTGTAAAATAGTCTTTTTTCCAAGTGTGTGCCAAACAGAGAATATTAGAAGGCTTTTTAGACTTTTTGTGGTGGCTTGACAGCTTTGGCTGACCACCATTGGCAGACAACACAACACAGGTAGTATAACCATTGATACTGGTATTGGTTTTTGTTGCAGAAAAATGTCCAGGAACAATTATTCTATGATCAGCAGCATGGCAGTAACACTGATTCTTTCTCTTGTCAGTTATGGTACTGTCCTTGCATGAAAGATAATGCAACTACCGATTCGCCACCCCACTGCTGGCAAAACATATGGAAAGCTTTTCTTTTACCTTGGTTTCTATCAAAGGTGTTAATTTGGATGCTTCTCTTTCACCCTCTGCCCAGCTGCCATTTTTTCAGAAAACTGGGAATTTTTCATCTTTGAGCCTTCTTTGCTTTCAAATTTGTCTGAAATTCACAATCAGATTCAGAAGTTATTAAGGTGGAGGAGTGACAGACAAGATAGGGCATGCAAGCCTTGCTTTGTTAGGAAACCAAACTGAAAATATCCATTAGATTTAAAGGTTAATGTTATTATTGTAAATAATTTTCCTTTAAACTCCTAAACCAGTAATATCCAAAGCAGTGCTTTTAAAAAGAAAATTACAAATAATTATTGTACTTGTTGTATTTTCTTCATTTTTCAGGTCCACCGCTGCCTCCATCATATTTCAGCCACTTTATTAATAGCATAAAGGTAATTATATCCCATTTGTGTTTGAGTTCTGTTAAGCTTTTTTTAAAGTGTTCTTTACTATAAATTAAGTATAAAACAGTATAGCATGGTAAAATATACAAAACAGATAAGATCATCAGCAATTACAAATGATATTAATTTCTTAAACTCCAGCTGCATAGAGAAGTTTATTACAAGTATAGAGATAGTAGGTGTCAGTAGCATATAAAGATTACTTTTGAAAAAACTTTATTACCGAGGCTTTTTACCTTCCCGGTGGTATTACAGTGAGTCATAATTCACTGTTACCTAACATAAGTTGGTATGTGCCATAAATGAGTGCTTTTGTTTCCATGCTAGCTCAGGTAAGAGACATCCATTACCTAAAGGGCTTCTAGAAAAATTTAGCAACAATTAACACATGGGGGGAAAAAAATCACTTCTGTGTAATATTGTTTATCTTTTAAGCACACTGAATAAAATAAATTAAAGTGATGGAAACTACTTTTCTTGGAATCTCTTACAAGAAAGTATACCCATGTGTTTGGTCTCTCTCTGTTCCATTTTTCTCCTGACTGCTTCAAGTGACAAAAATTAATACCAATGCAATATTATTTAAAAAGTTTTTAAGTGAACAAGACTCTTTATCAGTAGAAGATCTGAAAAAAAATGAATCAAATTATCATTTAATGATGCCACCAAAAGCAGTGTACCGTCAGTTTCCTTGAAGGACTCTTAGTGCCGACTGGTTTTCAGATTTTGTTTTTGCTTGGCTGAGTGCACCTAAGTTATTCCTATGATATAAAGTGCCCCATGCATGCACGGCAGAGCTGATATGGCTTCTTTGATCTTATAGAGTAGTGTCCGTAGCTTCATAGATTTAGCTACAAAGAACTCATTTTTCATCTAATCCTTCATCTCTGCAAAATGGCATGCCATACAGAAAGCTTTACATCCTGTTTACTGGGAAACTAAAAAGAAGAAAAGTCAGAGGAGGAGCTATACATAGCCACCTCTACTGGCTTTCTGCAGCTATCTGCCATTCTTGCTTTGCCCTTTGCCTCTTCTATTCACAGGTTTATTTCTCAGAAAGGTGAAACAAAGTAGACCAAAAAAAGTTAAAGGGAAAAAACAGCAGACAAACAGAAGGAAATAATGTGAGGAGGAACCTACAATTGCTGTGGCTCATTTTGCACAGAGAGATAATGACTTGGCTTTTAAATGCTTCTTCTTACCTATCACTCTGTTCCCCAAACTAACTGATAATCAACAGTGAAGGACAGGAGAAGCAATGCAGTTCAAAGTGTCTGCAATTTTGTGTGGTGTCTCTTCTGTTATCCTGGTACATACCCCTGCCCTTCTCTCTCATCCTATGCACAGTAATCTTCACTTTGCCACGTACTTTTAAATATCTGACCATTCCATGTCAATCTTGCTTTGCTTTTTCCTTGATGAAAGAGAAAAGCAGAAAGCCAGGCTTTTATGCTTCCTCCGACTTTTTCTTTGCCTCCAGCCTTGCAGCCTCAATAGAGAAAGCATTCCTTTTCACTCCATATCACTGAAGAAGGAAGTGATGTCAAAAAGATTTTAAGCAGATGCTTTTCTTTATTGAGCTCAGAGATTTCACGTAACTTTAAAAGATCAGTGCATAGAGTTCTGATCTCACGTCAGCTCAATGGTTTAAAACGTATTCTCTTTAAAGGGTGAAAAAGGAGACAATGGAGTCACTGGTGTAAAAGGAGAAAAAGGAGAACCAAATGGAGGTTTTTTCCTTACAGGACCTCCTGGACCGCCTGGAAGACCAGGATTAGTTGTAAGTCACACAAGTTGTAGAATAGGAATATTTGTGGATACCCATTGTTTTAATTTAGAAGGCACTAAAAAGAGACAAACATCAAGATGATGCTAAGAACTATATAAAACCTCACATGCAAACCCTTAAATGAATACGAGAGAGTTGCATTAGGTGTAAACACAGACATTTCACTGTTGTGCATAGAATTAATTTGCTATGAAAAATTGATGTAATGTTGTGCTCGGCTGTCTAATACAACTACATCAGTATGTAGATACATGCTATTAACAGCATTACAAATCAAGGCATATATATATATATATCTCAAGGCAAGTATATATAACTTGTGATGCTACTACTTATATCCCCATAAAGGCCAAAATAGGCTATATAAAGTTAGACAGAGGCTGACTTGAAAATTATTGGCCGTCTAAATAATTAATCTTATTTTCTATTCCATTAATCCAAAAAGATGAATTAAAAGTCCAGTGTGTGCCCATCTGGATCATTGCTATAAAATTCAGCCACTGTCTAATCTCTACCTAGTTGTTTTATCTTCTGGTAATTGCCACCACAGCTGCTTTGAAATCCAATGCACTAATTCTTTGGAAACTAGTTTATCCCTGGGATCTGGCAACAAATGTGTGCATTGCATTACTCTATTGTCATGTTCTGTGCCAAGGAGCATGAATGGGTGGGCGACAACGAGGGCTGAGGATGGAGTGTTAGGTTAGCAAGCCCACCTTCAAAAATCCCAGTGGTGCTATTCCACGTTGCTGAGAACCATCTCCCCGTTTAGAAACTGTTCCACTGGCAAAGAAGAATTGGATGGCACAGCTGAGATCCATCAGAAAGCTCTCCTAGTACAGGGTCCAAACACTGTTGCATGTATGCAGGCCAGTTTGAACACAGGGAGTGCAAGCCCTCCTCATTCAGGCTGAGGACACACTGCTAAATTGGAAATGTAGAGAGTTGGAGCCTTTTTAACCTGGAAGACTGGCAGCTGGAGAGCTTAAGGGATATGAGCTGACATTTGATCACAGGAGGGAGAAGACAACATTCGTCGTGAGACATACACCCTTCACAGACACACTTTATGTTAAAGCTTTCCACTGTGTACCTTCAGACAAACTCTTATCTTATAAGCACATCAAAGCGAGTAGTCTCAGCATGAGCAGAGTTGAGATCCAGGACTTTGAGGGTACTGTCGAGAGTTTTGTAGATATCAGCTACTCAGGAATAGGTGCGAGAACTTTCAGAAAGCTTTCTGAAACTTAAATTCTTGAATTTAGTTTAGTGGTCAAATGGTCAAATTTTTCATTTTCCATTAATATCCGTGCTTCCTTGAAGAAAATTACGTACAGACTCATGTCTAAACAGTGGTGTGGTGGCAGGCCTTCAGAAGATGTTGCCACCAGAGATGAAGGCCCTGCAGCACTGAAACTGATACATTCAAATAAATACTTTTTATCACTGATAGGGACCAAAAGGCGATTCAGTTGTTGGACCCAGAGGACCTCCGGGGTTACCTGGCCTCCCTGGCTTACCAGGTTATGGAAAAATTGGACCTCCTGGCCCACCTGGCCCACCAGGCCCACCAGGACCCCCTGCAATATATGGCTCAGGTGAGAGGATGTGATTTTGCTTTTCACTGTATATGTGACTGCATAGGCATACCCCCACTCCCCCACACACACTGCCACTTCCTTTGCATACCTGTTCTTCCATCTGCCCACCTGAATCAGGTTGCTCCCCTCTCTCCTCCTGCCCTCTACCGATTTCTCCTGGGGGGTGAGTCGGAACTGGGAACACAAAAGGGACAATTTCTCTGCAAACAGTTTTCACTGACTAGTGCCATGGGAGCACTATTGCATGAAAAATGTTACTGTGGCTGTGGCTGGGAGGAAGTCTACATAACGAAGACAGGCTGCCTTCAGAGCTTTGCAAAATCTATCAAATCAACCAGCTGGCTAAATCTGGGAAGATGTTAATGTGGGCCAAGACACTCTTCTTGTGGTGAATGGAGTTAAATCCAGTTGGCGGCTGGTCACAAGTGGTGTTCCCCAGGGCTC